GTTAGTTCCTGCAACAGGCTTATGACATCATACCCCCATTATATAGATGAAGGTATCAGCAAGGAAGGTTTTAAACAATTTGTCCAAGGTTACACAGCAAAGAATATTAGCAACTAAAAAATAATTAAGATGAACTTCATAACCATTTACTCTCACTAGCATACAAATTATGTCATATTATGGAAATGTTGAATATTACCACATGTATGCACCGTACATAATCTCCATTCCCTTTTATGGATAAGACATTGTGTTGATTTGTACCTCTATATAATCATAAAAATATTGCATTTTCCCTGTTCACCCTTATTTGTAGCTGAGATAAATTACTTAGCACTGTGGAAGTCAATAAATATTAAAATGAATAAATACAGCGGAACTGCATAAAATAAAGCTTTAAAAACTATTTGAATATGCTCTCAGATGTTGAACCTTATAAATTATATTTATTTTTGTGTGTTTAGTTCATGATTTTTATTACAAAGTTGAGTTTAAAATTATTGTTTTAACTATATGAAATGCCAAATTGATTCAATGTGTCAACATATCTGGTTTATTTATTAGTTTGTAACTTGAAGGGACTCATCATGAAAATGCTTTCTTTTATTCGGTTTTGGACATGTTTTCATTGATCTTTCTGATGCCAATCCTGGCCAAATACCAGACGGTTTTCACAGCTTCTGGTCACTTTCATTTTTTAAGACAATTATTTTTCCATTTACTAAGGTGTGAGATCCAGTGTAAGAGTTATCTCCTGTTCTCTCCTACTCACTCTGCTGCTTCTCGCTTTCTGAGATCTGGGTAGAAAGGGAGAGAAGGTGTATAACAGCATGGCATGGTAATTTCATAGCCAGTATCCTCTGTGACAGGCATCTGGAAGCTGGCCCTTGATCCTAGGGCACATGCTTGGGCTATTCAGAGACACATCTCAAGGATTTGAGATCCCTGTGTTCACATTATTGACACATTACTTGGATGACTCAGCTCTGTCTGTGCAAAATTTCTTTGCTTAGTAATCAAGTCAGTTAACCTATGCAAAATTCATGTAACTTTATTCTCTTCAAGGCTAGAATGGTGTTTTCTAGCAACTGGCCACTCTCATTCTCTGCTATTTTAGATAGATCAGCCAGTCATCTTTAGAGCTCTCTAGGAAAAAAAGGCAGCAAAAAATTATAATAGGCCCCAAGGAACTACCTTGTGATTGAGATATGAGACTCCCTCTCCCTGGACATCAAAATTTTGATAGTTATATAGACAGACAAATTTTAATATGTAAAAGTCTTATGTAATCTTCCTCCATTTATCTCTCTAAATAGTCTTCTTATCTTCTATATATTTGCTATCATATAGCACTGTATAGCATATACAAAGTTTGAAGCTACTTTGCAGATTTTGAGTAGACCCAAGACATCTACAATACATTTGTTACTAGGTTGTACTCGAACAAGTGAAGGATTCTCATTTCATATTCTTCACATTTTATGAGAACTATTTCACATGAGACGTTCTGCAGTTATCATCAAAGGAATTTTTGACTGAATAGTATAACTTCAGCAACTTTTTTCCCCAAATATATCAAGTTCAAACAAGTTAACATGCCAAAATTATATAATTTTTAGAAAAATCTTGAAAAAATTGTATCTGTATTAAATAACTACTCAGTGCTAATCTATTTTGAAAAATACATTAATTTTGTATCAATAATCTATAATATTATTCAATGAACACAAATAAGACTTCTATACATGACTAATAAAACAGATTGAATTCATTACTATATTCATTTAGTAAATATTTATTGGTCATTTACTATATGCTAGAAACATTATTAGACCGTAAAAAACACCAAAACTAAAAATTTCTTACCCACTAAAGGTGATATTCTAATAAAGGAGAAAGGCAACAATAATACCAAGTAGTTAAATGATTTAGTTAAAAAAAAAAAAGACAAAGTAAGGGTCACAGGAAATTGATGGTGGCCAGGCAGATCTTTCTGAGAAAGTTGCAACTGATCACAGACCTGAATGTGGTAAGGGAATAAAAAACAGAGGTGTTTGGAGGAAAGATTGCTCTAGTAACTGAGGTGGAGAATAGAAGGAAGAGAAATTGCAGAAATAAGTAGGGATGGAAAAATACATGGCCTTAAAAAAAAAAAAAAAGACCCGTGTGTTTCCAGCAGAATATCATCAGTTGCTATAATAATGCACCATTGTTTACTGAGCAGTTATGTTTTATCATGTACTGTTTGTGCTGTTTGTTTTACATGTCTTATTATTTATTATTCATAACAACTATGTGTGATGGGTTGTTTGGGTCTTATTTTTCAGATTACAAACTGAGGTTCAGAAATAGTAGGCAGTTTGACAAACGTTATACTGGTATATAAACAAAAGGAACTATTTAAATTCAGGTCTGTAAAGCTCAAGCACATGTGTTGAGTGAACTACTAGTATTGCTATGGGTATTTTCCGATCCCTATAAAAGACTTTATTTTCTTATTTTTATTATTAGTAGTATAAAGCTTATATATAAACTTATGAGTCAATAAAGAGGAATATTAAAGTACCATGGGTATTAATATGAAGCTGTGACATTTTCATTAATATCTGCATTAATTTAGACTTTATTAAAATATACAAAAAAATTCTTACTGTGATGCCTTTAGCTTAGGAGGCAGCTAACTGTGTTCTTGCAATACCCATGTGACTAAAAAGAAGATAAAACAGTTATTGAAATATTACGAAGCAAAATTTCTAGAAAGTTGCAACTTCTTTATTAGAATTAAGAGAGTATTCTTAGATACAGTTGAAAAAAATGAGACTAAAAATAGATGTAATTATGTGTGTGCTTTTTCTATGTATCCTATGTTGACCACTATGTCATTAATTAAGCATGAATCTATTTTAATACATCTGTTTAGTGCCATTGGACATATTGCATCAATGTGCATTTGAGAAATTGTTTTTATTAAATGTATAAATTCTTACAAGGCTTTCATTTATACAGAACCTACTGTCCTCCCCAGAAAGTCTAACTTCTTTTGACTTTTCTATTTCCTATGGATTTCTTCATCTGTTATTTAACATAATTTCAGTTCTTCTACCAAGATTACATAACACTTTGTTGTAAATACTCTTAAGAAGCAATACATCATGGAATAACTCATGAAAATTTCCCTCATTATACATTTTCATTTTTTATGTTCATATGATAGAAATACTCATAAATTTTCTCTCAACTGTGCATTTCTATTTTACTTTCACATTTTTGCTCTTTTAAATTCTTTCTTCTTTGGTATTTTTACTCTTTCCTAAATAAATAATGATATCGATACATAAGAATTTACTATGTCTAATGTCCTCTCATCTACTTTTAATATCTTCCTAAGTGGCTGTATTGCAAACGTGATTTTCTCATACTTCTGTGAAGTATTAATGGTTTTTGGTTCATATTGATGAAAAAATTTCTTCTAATACATGATACAGATGCTTAAATTTTAAAGTAAAGAGAAAAAGTATTATAATCATCCAACTAATCTATCCATAGTTCCTAATTATTCAAAATACTTAATTTTAACATATATGGCTAATTTGATTCAGCTCAGTCTCACATGCTATTAATAAAAAGAGATCATGTAAACCAACTTTTAGAATTTTGTATTCACTACTTTCTGTTCAAACCATACATTTTGAAGTCCACCTTGATTTGGATATAATAACAATGATGATTCTTAAAAGGTCGATTAAAATTAAAGTGTTTTATTATCTTATCATCTAATACTACTATAAAGCTTTATGCCCAACAGTTTAGCATTTATTTCCCTCATAAGGCTACAATAAAAGTAAGTATTGCACCTAATTTTATATTCAGTAATAAAAAAATGACACTGAAAAATCAGTCATATTCTGAGCTCTTAATAGAAAAGGAAATTATGAGAATTGTATCATGTTTTATTCTAAGAATGGTAAGTATCAGTACAGGTGATCATAATATTTAGTGTGAATGGTAATTGAAGCTTGAATCCAATACTTCTTTAATTTTACTAAGTAATTTTAGTAGAAATAAAATTCACTTACATTTTTCATATTTTCCACCAATTTCATATATTTTAAATTTAGTTATGAGTAAATATTGACACGTGTTTTGCTATAATAAACATGTATTTTGGTTGCATATCAAAATAATCAATAAAAAGCTCCTAATCATATTTTCATATTTCTTTTTTACACAAATCTACAATATCAAAAATAATATCAATGTATACAATAAAACTCTGATTAATTAACATATAAGAAGTGTCTGTCCAAATTTAAAATTAGTTTTAAGTATTGATCTTAGCAAAGATTTTAAAATATCAAGCTAGAATGAATCATGGAATCTCAGATTCTTAATCAGATATGCTTATCATATATAAAAGTAAATGTGTAAATGTTTTAAAACTTTTAGCCGGGCTCAGTGACTCAGCCCGTAATCCCGTGGCTTTGGGAGGCTGAGGTGAGTGGATTGCCTGAGCCCGTGGGTTGCAGCCCGCCTGGGCAGCGAGACCTCATCTCTACAATAAATCAAAAAATTAGCCGGGCGTGGTAGCGTGCACCTGTAATTCCAGCTGCTTGGAAGGCTGAGGTGGAAGGATCGCCGGAGCCCAGCAGGTCGAGGCTGCGGTGGCCGGGAGCGGCCACTGCACTCCAGTCTGGGCGACAGAGTGAGACTCCAACTCAAAAAACAAAACAAAACAAAACAAAAAAAACTTTTATGTAATCATCCAGATTCTCCTAGGTGTTGAAGGTTTATCTCTGTATAGTATCAGAAACTTAATACACATAAACATTTTATTCTTACTTTGTAAGAGTAAAAAAAAAAAGGAAAAATATGATAACACTACGATGGCCCAATGCAATGACTTTCTCACATTAACCATTCAAAAATTTGAGAATTTGCATTAGATGACATTTAAAAATGACAAATATTTCAGTCCTATTCAAGAGCTTTCTTGTTCTGGCATCTGAAAGCTAACTGTTAGCCAATACTCCCCCATCTTTGTTCAGTGACAGCACATGGGTAACCATGATAACCATGGGACATTGACTCAAAAGAAATCACAACACCTTATAAACTAGGACTTTTTGCCATGAAGGAGCCAAAGAACAAAACTCTTTACCAAAAGCCTACCATTTAATGGTCCACATACTTTAGCAATTTTTATAAATTTTGATAGTAAAAAAAAAAAATCCTAATTATTTGACCGCATTGTAGAACCAAACATACATGCTAATCTTTTAAAGCGAGGCCCCAACTCATTAAGGTAATCATAATTTTCATCCCGATCAGATATGACTGATTCTAAGGAGCTCAGGGATCCAGCTAAGGATCCTGTTCCCTCAAAAGCATAGGTCTGGAGAGAGTCAAAGGGGGGAGCACACGGATCAGTATCGGCTTCTAAGAGTTTTTCTTGAATGAATTTTCTGAATATGGCACTGTCTGGCCCAACCTGTAATGACTGTCTGTATAGGCTCCTGATCTCGGCGCTGGTAGTTTTTCGAGTCTTGCGTTCCCTCATTACGGTGTTACTTCTCAGCTCTACAATGTCAAAGGCCTCTGTATCTTCTTCTCCACCGCCTTCATCATCATAGCAGAATATATTCTCTCTGAAATCTTCACCTTTTTCAGGAAATAGAGTCTGTTTCCTTTGCTGTTTTAGGCCCAAGATCAAAAAAATAAACCCTGATAAAGAAAGCACACCAGAATATTAATTGTCACATAAAAATGATCATGAAATTTATAATCTTTGCTCTCATTACAACCTCAAGATAGAAGGTTCAATTTTATAATTCTTAGACAGAAAGGTACATTTTTGGTTGGAAATTTACAAACGGGACTTGCAAAATGACATAAAGGAAGTATCATAATCTTCCTAGCTGACAATTTGGATGAAAAATACCACAAAAATATAGTGAACCGTTTAAAATAGTGGTCGATTTAAAATTTAAAATGAAAGATTATTCTTTGTACTATTTTTATATTTGAGAAATAAATACTATCTGTTAACAGTTGTCAATGTTAATAACAAATGATTTATGTTAATAAAACAGAAAAACAGTTTGGTATTCCTCATCGAGACAAATTTTTGTGGCATAATTATTTTATAAGTTAATATTTATTGACCATAAAGTATATGTAAGGTATTGTTCTATAAAGTTTACATTTATTGATTGATTTTATTATAATAAAATCATGTATTATCATGTCTTATTGCTTGTTAACTAAAATTAGCCGGGCCTAGAAAGACAAACACTACATGATCTAATTTATACTGGACTCTGAATAGTGTGCTCTCATAGAAGTAGTGAGTAGAATAACTGTGGCCAGGGGATGGAAAGCAGAGAGGAAAGGGATTGGCGACTAGGAGAGGTTGGTCATTGGGTGAAAAGTTATAATCAGACAAGAAGAATAAGTTATGATGTCCTTTTGCACAGTAAGGTGACTATAGCTGATAAAAATGTAGCGTATGTTTTGAGATAGCAGAAAAAACTTCAGATGTTATTACTGCAAAGAAATTATAAGTGTTTAAAGTGATGTGTATGCTAATTATGCCTATTTGATTATTACTCAATGTATGCATGTATTTAAATATCACACCATACCTTACACATATGTACTATTATATATCAATTATAAATAAAATAAAACAGAAAACACTCAAAAGTGGAAAGTTGGCTCAGAGCCTGTCTTTTGTGATACCATATTAATTTCAGACTTTTCAACTCATCAGGCACTTGAATTATAATATTAGTTTTTCCAGAATCAGTATTTATTACATAGCATCACTCAGAACAAAACTATTTTACAACAATTTTTTTAATTAATAAAAAAACTGTGTGTGTGTGTTTCAAAGATAACCAATCCTTACTCAACCTTGAACCTTATGTTGCTCCCAAATACATAGAATTTGAAACAAAATTATTATCACTGTTATCACAGAAGAAGCATCCTATCATAGAAGAACTATACTAAATATGTAATATTTTATATAAAACTACATTAAAACAATTAAAATAATGCTTTAAAATAAATAAAGCTGCCATGTTTGAACTCAGTGCGCTTTGTAACTCATATGATATATATGGTTGAAATAGCAAAGCATATAGTAAATATTTCAAACTGAATTGGAGAGTATTATAAAATTTTCAAAAGAAATAACTGACTATTGGCTGACCCAAGCTTTCCACCACTAAATATTACATCAGTAGCTGTGATGCTGCCCTTGATTTATTTGTAAGCTTTCCACACTTGGTTTAAGTCTGTAGGTAGTTCAGTATTTTTTGTTCCCCAAACATTACTTTATTATTACTCTTTCATTCTTCTAGTATTTAGCTATGGAGCTATACATTAAACTCTGGATTCAAAGATTATTAAAAATAATTTGAAAAGCTAAAGCTAAGTCCACCAAAAAAAATGGTTATGTTTGGTGGTAATGAGGAATGGATGAGTTTTGAAGATTTGAGAAAGATGAGGGAGTGAAAGCAAGTCCTGAAGCATATACTATGTCAGTTTGAGATTCCATAATCAGTGGCTGAAATAGTTGCTCTCAACACTCAATATAGTTGCATTGGCATTTGGTGTGAAGTTATGAGGAAAATTTTGGTGTTAAAAAAGGAAGAAAAAGGTTATGCTAGGTTAGTCATTTGTAGTCTTTAAAGTCTATTAAGACATTTATGGGTTCAGCTACCTTATCTGTAAAATGGGGTTAAATTATATACTTAGGAAAACAACAATCATTACAGCAACAGTATTTTAGTGAGATTTTGTTCTGCTTAGTACTTTGATGAAATAAGATTCTTTTACGTTTGTAACCTTAACATTTGCTTTTTATTTGCAAAATAATTGGAAAATATTTTTATTTTAATTGTCAACAGTATATATATTTATGGTGTACAGTGCGATGTATATCTGTATACATTATGGAATTACTAATTTAAGTTAATTAGCATATCCAATCACCTCCCACACTTACATATGAAATCAGAGTGTTGAAGAGATATCTATACACCCATGTTTATTGCAGCACTATTCACAATAGCCAAGATATAGAATTAACCTAAGTTTTTACTAAAGATGACTGGATAAGGAAAAGGTGGTACATGTACTCAATGGAATACTATTTAAACTTAAGCAAGACAAGAATCTTGTCATGTGTGACAATATGGTTGAATCTGGAGGGCATTATGCTAAATGAAATAATACAGGAATGGAAAGAAAAAAAATACTGCCTGATCTCACTATATGTCAAATCTAAAAATATATATAACTCATATAAGTGGAGAGTAGGTGGTGGTTAACAGGATGGCAGCAATGAGGGAAAGGGGACATGTTGGTCAAAGACAGGCTTCCATAAGACATTAGAAATGAATCCTGAGCCCGCGGGTTCGAGACCCGCCTGGGCAGCGAGACCTCATCTCTACAATAAATCCAAAAAAAAACAAAATCAGCCGGGCGTGGTAGCGCATGCCTTTAATATCGCCAGAGCCCAGCAGGTCGAGGCTGCGGTGGCCGGAAGTGGCCACTGCACTCCAGTCTGGGCGACAGAGTGAGACTCCAACTCAAAAAAAAAAAAAAAAAAAAATGAATCCAAGAAATCTATGGTACCATGACCTTTCAAAAGGCTCATTACTCTTTGAGCTTCATTTTCTTCACCTATAAAAGGTGAGTGATAATAGCTGCTGCTTCATAAGTTTATTGTGAGGACTAAATTGCAGAGTGCATAAAAAGCACTGAAGAGTGTCTCCTGGAGTATAATAAGTACTCAACAGAAGCTCATCATTATTATTAATGATTTATATATATATATATTTGTTACAATGCATATATGTTAAAACATGTATAAACCAATGTGTACACACATAATCACACACTCATGGAATTCAGAGATCATAACTCATTTACAGCTTGAAATGCACACTTATCCATTCTATTTTTATTTACTCTATTTGGTTAAAACTATATTACATTCATTATGCACACACATACACATACAAAAACCCACAATATAATACTATACTAGAATTAACTGTTTTATATATTCATCTTGTTATTTTAAATTAATGGATAGGCTCCATCCAGCACTACTTACCAAATATTACAATAATGCAGATCAGAATAGCAATAATGACTTCTGTTTTGAATCCCATGGAAAGCATAAATTCTTTGTCCCTGCAGGTCTGTGTATTCTCATTGTCATCACAGTCACAGACGAATATGGCAAGAGTGTTTGTACTTGTCAATGATGGGGACCCATTGTCGGCAATTAAGATGGGGATATAGAAGACAGGCTCTTCTTGAAGGCTAAAACCAGTTCTATTAGTCAAAATTACAGCTGTGTTATCTAAAATAAAAACCCATGTGCATAATTTTTTCAACCACATACAAGAAATTGGTGTCATAGATACTAAAAACAGTAGTATAGAGATATGATCAAATAAGTTGAAATGAAAAGAAGATAATATTTCTGATGAGAAGACAACTAAAACAGCTACACAAAGTTAGTATTGTTTTAGACATTACCTAAATTCTAATTATGTAATTAGATAAAGTATTTGAATTGTTGAATTATTCATATTAAATATTGCATTAATAGTATTTACTCATTTAATTATATTTTAAATTATTAATATTATTATTTAAATATTCAATCCATTTCAAAATATTTTTCATAAATATAGGGAAGACATACATAGGGAAGACATGCAGAAAATAGGCTTTTACTTAGATGTCAAGATTTTATAGAAGCTACTAGAATTAAATTTATGCTGATAGATCCAGTTTCATTTGTGTTAATTACACATTACACAGTTAATTTTCTAATACCTGAAACCTATTGTTTTTAAAAATAAGGGAAATACACAATATTTTAAAAGTTATCTATCATAACACATGATTTCAGATAATGTAGTTTCTAATGAGACAGAATAATTAATTTAACTTGGTAGGAAAGACAAAAACATCATATTGGGATGTTTCATTTACTTTAACTTTATTAATCTATTTTCCATTTAAAACATAGAAAATCATTAAACCTTAGTCATGGTGATTCATTCACCTAGAGAGGGCTTTCAAATATTAAGGAAAATGAATAATACATACTTTAACACATGTAAGTTTATTCTTCCCTAAATTAAAAAAAAGTATTCTAAATGACTTTTTCTTGTGCCTCAGAACTATGTTTTCCTTTTTAAATGTTGTTATTTTATCCCCCAAAATATATTCTTCAGCTATGAGTAAAACTTTAGAAGACAAAAGCAGTAAAATGCAAATAAATACTTTTTTTTGAGATTCATGCTTATTTAGGACTTTTCCCAATTCATCTTTTTTTAAAAGTCAATTCTTTATCAAGCCCCTAAAATCTACAAAGCTCATGGTGGGATTTTATTAAGTAAGCTGACCTAAGAGTTGGGAGACAGTTGACGATTTTAAATATGCATTTTATTACATTGCTTGTAACCACAAACATTAAACAAAATCAATTTTATGCTTCAAGTTATAATTTTGCCTCAGTAATTTATTTTATATTAATATAAATAAATTTAAGCTGGAGTTTAAAAAAATTTGGTGTTTGTGTTTTTTTAATTCTAAGTCTATTTGAGTTGTCTCTCTCTGGGAATTTGTCAAGGGCAAAGCTGAGAAACATTTTCGTATTTACTCTCCCACAAGAGATCTCCAGATCAAAGCTTAAACTCAGTTATAAGAGCAGCGGCAGGTGTTTGTTCACAGATACTTGAGTAATAAATCCAACCGTGTTTCATATCTTTGAAGGTATAAAGAAAAATTGAAATGGAAATCCATATTATGGCAGAAAAAAAGCTTACAGAAGAAAATGAAAAGGAAACCAAATGTCTTTCTAATAAAGTTAATCCATTTCTAGACAGAGGGAAAATAAATTCTGTTTCTCTACATTGAAATAGTCTGGACAATTAATCCTTAGATTGATAGAAAGTATTTAATTTTGGAGAAAAAAGAACTCTTTAACACAAATTTCATATATTTATGGTTCCTAATTAATGACCCCAAATATCTTCAAATCAATCATGTTAACATGACTGTAAGTAAAGTATATCTGATTTTTTCCTCAGATATACATTGAAGTTTGCATTATTAGATAAGGGTATGAAAGGAGCCGTGGTATCAAAACTGCAGTTATATTTGAAGGGTCATTCAGACTTTACCAAGACTTACAGGTACTGATAGCTTGAAAAAGGCCTTTTACTTTGAAAAATACAGTGAGAAACGAAGCCAGTAGTTTTAGAACTTGACTTTGGATTTTGTTTTCCATTTTTATTGCTACTACTTTGTTCCACTTCCCAACATTGATATGTTGCAGAATAGCATAACAACCAATATCATAAATTCCATTAAAGTCAAATGATTCACAAAGACCGAATTAAAAATCTTTATGAGTGAATGACATTACCTTGATTATCTATGATTGCAAAACTTGATTTATTTGTGCCTTCTAAAGATAGATTAAAGTAAAAATGGTGATCTTCTATGGATTCATCTCTGTCCACTGCGCTGATGGTCTGAATTATCTAGGAAAAGAAAAAAAAGAACTGATTTTTGTTGTTCTTTGGATTCAGGAGAAAGATAATTGCTGTTATTATTACTATTTTTTATTGAAATTAGTTTGTCACAATTCATTAGGGACTTAGCAGGGAAAAACTGTCAAATTGTTGAAGAATATAAAATACTTTTTCAGGCTAAAAATATTTTTACTTGTCCCTTTTAAAAGGGTGTTATGGTGTTTTACAATACTCATGGTGGATTTCATAAAGTAAGTTTGTTAGAAGTTCTCCTGGCATTGCTGCTATATTTAAAGACTTCTTCCCACCCTCTTTGTCTACATTTTCTCCCTTTCTTCCTTCTTTCTTCTTGCTTTCTTACCAGTCATTGCTATTTGCTAAAGCTATGCATTTTGTTTTAATTGAGAGCAAAACTTTGGTAGCGTTATTGGCTTACCAGAGTATGTGCTAAAGTAATGAGTTTTTTAAATTGATTTGAGAAAAAATGCATTTAAAACTTAGAGGCAATATACATGATTTCCTTTGACCCATAAAGATTATAGAAAAAGTGTTCCATAGCAAATACATTTATCTTTGTATCTAAGATCATAAAACAATGAAGTAATGAGGAAATGCACAAACTAGTTATCAATTATTTTTTTTCTTTCAAGAAATGAATGTGTCAGTCAAGCAGTACGTTGTTGTCAAAAAAAAAAAGATACGCTGTCAAAATCACATAGTGAGATTGTGATTAATTCTGGGAATTAAATAAATTGATTATACAAGTTATTATTTTAAATTTTCTAAAAGTAACGTGCTTTTAACAATATGTCAAACAAAAATAGCCTCAGATGCAGGATTTATGTTGTGCCTTAAAAAATAGATATCTCTCCACAGACATAAAGAACATTATGAAACTAATACAATTTGTACATTAGTTTTCTACATTGATATTTTTCTTGTAACACATTTCTAATAAACCGTAATCATTTAGTGTTAATTAAATAATCTAATAAAACATTTTATTCAATTTCTGCTTATAATAATAAATGTGAATATTGTGTTGTATCAAAAAATTTAGAATGTCAACAATTTTTATAGGTTGGGTGAAGAGCTTGGCAGTCTGATATTCTGAATTCTGGTTTTGTCACCTTTAAGTTATTTAACTTTTAATAATGAAGATACTAACATTAACTTTTAGGGTCCAATTTTAGAATAATATGTCTTAGTTTATCAAAAAGCTTGTCACACAATGAGTATATCTCTACTATGTGTTCTTCATGAAAGCAATGTCTCACTGAGATTTGCATAGACCAGTATCTTGAATTTTGTCAGTGATTCTGTTACATGCACATTTACTGAAGTAAGATAGATAACAAAGTGTAAGATTCATGCTACCTTGTTGGCATATGCAGTCTTGATTTTTAAAGAAATACTTTATTATAATTCCTGATGTCCTGTATGAAACATGAGAATCTGACTAAATGTTGAAAACATCTCCTTTTTGTGTATGAAGGCTAAAGAAGACTGGAGAGACTTTGGCTTTATAAATATATTTAAAGACTTATGATTAATCAAACTATCCTACACACATGTATAGGTAAACTTGATGAGTAGGATTTCCATACTCTGCTCTTCAATGAACATACCTCCACTAGTATTTACATTGTAAATTAAGCTTTCAATAAGATATGTTTTATTGAGTTCCACTGCTTTATAAAAATAGAAAGCAATTGACATAAAAAAACCAGCCATTTATCAAATGTAATTAATTCTACTGAATTAATCTTGAACATGTACACTTTTCATTGAGATATAAATCTCTAAAATACAGACTCTGGATGGAAATATCATTTTTTTCCTTTAATATAACAATAGGAAGGTGTTGTTATAATTTTCAAATATATTTCTAATAAAATATCCCTATTTGTTGTATCAATTGCTATATACATATATCTATTTACCTAGGACCTATCACTGGCCACATACATTTGTTTAAAAAAAAGGAAAAGCAAATTAAAAAGGAGAAGTATATACAAGAACAGCCATGGTTTGAGAGGTTGGGGGAAAACAGCAAAAATAATCATTCCAAACTATGATAAATTATGAGAGATGTTTAAACTTTTGGTCTTTCAGTATTCAGAGTAAAAGTTTCAATAAATGAAAACGTGAAATAGTTTTTTTAAAATATCATCTGCATTTTTTTAAATCTAGGTCTTCTAGGTATTTTTACCTTATATTAGGCTAAAGATGCAAACTTTCTCACACTGCCAAGAAATTATGGTGAACGAATAAGAATGAGACCATCACTTTTCCTTCTACTCTAATGAGAAAATGATTCTAAATTGAACCTGTATTGACAAAATAAATGTAAAGGATTTTAAAAACTTGCTGAATATCTGTTTATACAACCAAAGTTCAAGTTAATAAAGTAATAGAACTGGAGCCAACAAGAAAATCTAGATTGTAATGTCTTTGCTTTCTTTGTTAGCATCAAAACTGCATGATAATCTAATATTTTGGTCCTGGATAGAAGCAGGGAAACTCAAGGTAACTTTCCACAAAATTATACTATATATTTAAATGCCATAGATATTATAGTTATGTCATTAACTTGTAGAAGTCTATCTATTTTCAGTTAACAACTAAGCATTCTTAGGTTTTGCTTTCTTTTTTTTTTTTTTTTTTTGAGTTGGAGTCTCAATGACAGTTTATTTCAATGCTTTTTATTTTATTATTTTTATTTTGTTTCCTTCCTTAAATTGGTTTTTAGAACATACTTTTCGAAATTTATATGAAGATCAGAATATATAAATGAAAAAGGGTTAATTATAAAAAAAATTCTGATTAATATCACAAATGTAAGCTGGGCTCGGTGGCTCAGCCTGTAATCCCGTGCCTTTGGGAGGCTGAGGTGAGTGAATTGCCTGAGCCCGCCGATTCGAGACCCGCCTGGGCAGCAAGACCTCATCTCTACAATAAATCAAAAAATCAACCGGGCGTGGTAGCGCATGCCTGTAATTCCGGCTACTCGGAAGGCTGAGGTGAAAGGATCGCTGGAGCCCAGTGGGTCGAGGCTGCGGTGGCCGGGAGCGGCCACTGCACTCCAGTCTGGGCGACAGAGTGAGACTCCAACTCAAAAAAAAAAAAAAAAAATCACAAATGTATCCATTTAACACATATTTGATTGGCACTTAGAGCACTTCAACCAATCTCAGGCCCTGGGGATGCAATGGTGGATAAGACCAAGAGTGTCTGTCACCACTGGTTTCATTCCAGTGTAGTAGAGGGTCAAGCAAAATTGCAAACTTAAAAAGTATTGCAAAAGAACATAATACATAAAATACATAAAAAAATTAAATAAGACACCTAAAGTATGCCATACTTTGGGTGTCATTAGACCTGGTATCTAAGCAAAAATTAGATCAATCTGAAGAAATGATCAGAGGTTACACCTTGAACATTCTAGGAGGGCATATTACAGAGTATGAATTTATACAGAGGAACGCTCACAAGATCTTTGTCAGGATAGACATATTCATTGTTTTTACTTGGGATCCCATGATGCCAGGAGAAGAACTGCATCTTAGAATGCTCCTTTGAGGACATTTTTAGAGTAGGTCAGGAAATAGAGAACCCAACCTGCAAGGTGTTATCGTGATCCCAGTCACCAAACGTTGGCAGTCAAAACTTCTTGATGTGATATACAAAAAGACACTAACAATCACAGATATAGAATGCATATTTCCTTAAATGAGAAACAATACAGAAATTACTGAGGTGTTTTCATAAACTAAGATACTACAACATGATGTCACATGGAGATACAGCTTCCAAAGTTTCCACATTTGCCTAACAGTATGCTCAGTTCTATATGATATCACCAAAATAATGTCTTTTCACCAATTCCAAGAGACTATATAGTCTTATATATTCTTCTGGTCATTATCTAGACAGTAAAATATGACTACTCTGGGAACTTTTTACATGCCTATAGGCTTCCCTAATAAATGTAAGTTGTTCTTTTTAACCTGTAATTTTTTTTAACCTGTGATATATTGCTGCATGTGTGCCATGAAATTGGATGAAGCAAAGTTTGCTTTTACAGGAACATTTCTCTATACAACTGTCTACATAAGGTCCACTCCAGAAAAGAAGTTAGGTCCCTTCCAGGATGGATAGAATAAAGATAGAGAGAAATTGCTATATGAAACACATATTTCGAAGATGGGATCAACAAAACATGATTGACTGGAGATGGAAAATAAAAGTTCAAATGAATAAAGAATGATAACGATATATTTTTGCCTGTTTGTTTGTTTCAATACTTGGTGAGTTATAATGATTTTTCTAAGAGTCCTGAAAAAAGAGCAGACTTGAGAGCAAAATTCGTGTAATCATAAGATATCTGAGTAGAAATTTCACCTAGTTAGTTGTACATGTAGATTAAACTAGGAAAAAATGAACAAAAGTACAAATCTAAAAGTCATTTGAATAGTAACTGTGCGTTGAGATATAGTGGTGGATGAGAGAAAACAGAGTGAGCTAGGGAAAACTAAGAAGGATGGGCACAGAGCGGAAGGAAGGTGAGAAGAAAACCAAGGATCACAATATGAAACCACTGAAATTTTGCAAAGCAAAGTTTTTACATGGAGACAAGGTAAATGGCTTTACATTACACAGAATATCAGTATAAAATAATCTAAAACTCACCGATATTATACTTTACTTCTGGAAAAGATGTTTAGTATCAGTCAAGATAATGCGAATCACTGATTTGAAAAATGATAACTATTTGCTCCAAATAGGAAAGGCAAATTACCCTATTGTCAGCTCATTTATTATGTTAATGCTTCACAAACTGCTGAAAGTTCTTTTCTTCTCTACCCGCCCAGGCCACATACACATGTAGAACAAAACCAGAAATGATGTTTACCCATGTAGATTGTTGAAAAAAAATTTTGATACCTGAGTAGAGTGTGATTATTCTACCATTTTTATTTTCTATAATTAATGTATTCTCTCTCCAG